GTCCCTGTCCCTGTCCCTGTCCCGTCCCTGTCCCGTCCCTGTCCCCGCGTTACCGGTGCTGCCACGCCGCCACCCCACCGCCGTCCCCTCCTCCCCAGCGCTTCCCAGGCATCGCCTCACCGCACCACAGCTCCCTGCAGCCCCGCTGCTCCGGGCCAAACGCCGCCCCTCAGCTCCAGCCTGTTCTGAGAGGGGCCCTGGCTGATCTTTACCGATCGCATCTCTCGGCTCCATCCCACACAAACCCCATCGCTCCACCTTCCCCACTGTTCCATTCATCCACCCAAAGGGATGCTTCCCCGGGTCACCATCCCCTCTAATGTAAATTAGTGCCCACATTTTGCCCACCATGCACTTGTTAACTATTTCAATTAAGCATCTAAATCTTTATATAATTACACATTCTCCCTTACTAAGCTATTTTGCCAAGACTCTATAATCTATCTGCTCATTAAGTAAAATAAAATAAAATCCCAACATACCCATAGTCCCACTGCCAGAACTACCAAAAAGTAGACAACAATAACAGAGATGTCTGCAGCATTGTTGATCCTTATGATGGGCTCCATCCTGGCTGTTTCTCTGGCTTTCTTCTTCTTTCTCTCCTTATGTGCTTCTTGCAGAGTTCAGGTTAATGATAAACTGCTGTCATCACCTATGTCGTATATAATATATAACTTCAGATTCACTTGTCTCCAATGGGACACAAGTTGAAACTGCTGCTTTTCCTTGGACAACTCTTTCCCAAAGAGTCCTCCTCTGTTACAGGTGCTGCAGATTTCACAGTTCAGTGTCCCTGCCAAAGGTACTCAGGGTTTTAACATCCACGAGCAGATGTCTGAGAAGGAATGACACAGAAAGGAGTGGCTTGGCTGCAATAAACCTGCATATTTACCTCACTGTGGGTGAATACTTTTTTTTTTTTTTTTTAAGTGGTTGTACCTGTAAATCTAGTCATGGAAGATGTAGTTCTTTTAGTTGTTGATGGTAAGCAATTATCTGTGAGGAGTGACCTGGCACCAGGGGAAAACCCAGGGGTCCAGGATCTGGGACAACCTCGTGTGTCATCTCTCAACTCAGCAGCATTAGTCAATGGAGAAACAGACCTGTGTTTCCAGGAAGAAGAAAACTTGAATCTGCTTCCATCTCTCACATGGATACAGCTAAAGATGCATATGAACACAAGACCTGGACCCAGGAGCTTACAGGGCTGAATTAGGCTGTTTAGACCATGGTGTTGGCTCTCTCTGTTGTAGCTAATCAGCTTCACATTTGAGTAAGTTCAAAGTTCATGAGAGCTTGGGTCTGCTCTGCCTTTATTTGCTCCTCTGACTTCAGAATTAAGCTAAGCAAAACAAGTGGTCACAAAGATGTGGAACACACTGGTTATAGACAGATTCTCACAGCTCTGAGTAAGGAAGCTTCCCCAGATGATGCCCATGATCCTCTGTTTGAGCTAGAAGGGGCCAGAGAAATCCAGGGTGTTTAGAACAATGTATCTGGGTGCCAGGCACATTTCTGGGCTCTGAGGATATCTGAGAGTCCCATCTCTGTTTGATATTAAGGAATCATTATTCATTTACAGCCTTTTGGGTGTAAAACGTGACCTGCAGTGACACTGAGCAGAACAAGCAGTCAAGGACATGGGGAGCACAGCAGGCCTGACTGATCCTGCAGGTGTTATTTCCTCGGAGATGAAATTGAGGGCTGGCACTGTTCATTGGCAACGATTTTCTCCTGGGTAAACTACCCTGTGGTAATTGTGGCTAATAAAAAGCAGCAAAGAACCTATAATACAATGGGATTACTTAAAAGAGTAAATTTTTTTAATCTCTCTATTGTTTGAGCAGCTATACTCTTATAAAACAGTGCTACCCTTTGATAGTTTAGGCATCTCTCCCAAACACATTCTTCAGTTTGTCCTACATGACTGTGAAATGTTAGCTTTAAATCCAACAGAGAAAAAATTAACCCTGGAAGCTGCTGAGCATCCAAAATTCCCATTAGTTCTGACCTTCCCTGCTGTGTATTTCAGTGGAAAATAAAAGACTTATTTACTAACCTTAATTATCAGGAAACAGTTTGCCTAAGATAGGCTGCAGATGGCACTTCTTTAGAGACTGACGCATATTCCTCCAGCTCCTTGCACCTAACAAAAAGTTTGGTTTTCATGAATTCCATTTCTGTGTCAGTCTACAGAGGCAAGCAAAAGAAAACATTAGTCAGGCACTGATCTACCCTGATGTGCCTCGTGTTCTCACCCCAGCCTCTGCAGAAGGGAGCTCAGAGGCTGAGCAGTGCTGTAGCCTCTGTCCACAGCTCCTAGTGTGGCCACACCAACAAAATTCCAAGGTCTGAAACACTAATGGAGAATCAACATCTACAAAATAGTAATCACACAATTCCCATCTTTATGTACAGTGGAAACAAACTTAATTTTTTTTTTTATTTTTGTAGGCCACAAACAGAAACTAAGCAGCAACCAACATAATCTACAAGACTGTCAGAAGGGGAGGCAGCTTTGTCAAGGCTCTGAATATCTCATCTCCACATCCTCATCTGCAGCCCAGAGAGAAACCTGGAAGCATTGTAAGTTGTTGGTGTACCCAGTGATTCACTGTTTGAATTCAGTGCATAAAAAGGTATGCACTGAAAGGCCAGGCAGGTTTTCAGATTGGAAATAGGCTAAACCTTTCTTTGTGTTAAAGCTTTCAAAGATAAGCAGGAGTGAATCTCCTGCTGGGATGAGTGAACACCCATCAGAACACAACAGTCATTTCTTTTCCTCACTCTCAACTAGCAATGTGCTTCCATGGGTCTCTCATCATCCTGGAGGGTCTCTTCAAGCAGTTTTAGGGTTCCAATACTAGACAAATTGACAAATAATTTGATATACTGAGGGTATTTCTCTAGTTTTGCATGTGAGCCAGGGCAATTTATTGAAGAGAGATTTTAACAGGAGTGAGAAAACCAAACAGTTTAAGTAAGATAACACAGTGCCTCTGATCCATGTCTCTAATAAGCTCCCCCTTGGTTAGAGCCTGGTGACATTAAGCCTATCATGAATATGTCTGTTCAGACCTGATAGACCAAACAGAGAATGGAGGAGAGGGCAATTAGCTACAGACCAGCAAGGAACTGGTTCAAATTCCCACCCCAGGCTGCTGATGGAGACCAAATGGGATAAATGTCATGGACCTGCATTCCCAACTGACTGGCCACCACTGTCTGATGGGGCACAGGGCAGCTCAGGAACTGGCTAGAAGCTGCAATTGCTGTGCTGTCCTCAGAAAATGGAGCTGTAGCACAGAAAATGTGAGTTACTGGCACTTAGCCAAGCCTCTTACAAACTTTTGCATAAAGGTCTTCCTCCTGAGGATGACAAATGATTAAGCAATGGTAAAACAAATAAACTACAAGCAAAGAGAAAAATGCATCAGCATGCAAAGTACCTCCCATGGAGGAACTCCTCTAATCTTTTCCCTGACACTCCTCCACATCTCTTGATAAAGCAAGTAGATTTCTTTGGGGATGCTCTTCAGAAATGTTAACTTATCCTTTGTACAAGTAACGAAGGACAAACACAGACAAAAATTTGTAATTATTTTACTTGCAGAAGGCCATATACTATGTTAGTAAATTGTCTACCCTCCTTTGATGGTTTCCTAGTCATGTGGTGTGAACTTGGAAAAGAGTTCATATTTGCAAGTGGACAAAATATAAATACAAAGGCTCTCAACACAGGTTTCTTAATATGCTTCTAATAATTGAGGGTGGCAGTTAGAGAATTGTTCAACACCTTTTTTTGATGTCAAAAGTCCATCTTCTCTTTCTGCAATCTTGATTAAGTGAGCAGAACCTGGTTCTAATTCAAAGAATTAGTCACAGAAGGATGACAAAAATGTGAGAAAACAAAAAATGTGCAATCAGTTGAAGAGGAATTACTAAAAGGAAAAAAGAGCTGAAGTCCAGTAGGTATGACGTAGATAGGAAAAAAAATCAGCAGGAAAACAGGTGTTTTCCTAAAAGGTTATCTGAAAGAAAGCAAGGTCATTCTATTCTTATTCAGGGAGAGGATCAGATTAAGAAACATGAACAAAACCACGTATTTATCAAGAGACAAAAGAGATAACAAAAATGAACACTTTAAAGACTAATTTTCTGATTAGTATCTCTACAGAGGAGAAATATCAGGACATAAAAATAGGTCTATATGCAGATAGACCAACAGAAATGAAGCAAGGAAATACATTCACTTCTTTAGCAACTGACTTCATTATCTCTGTGTAATCACTAAGTACACTCAGCCCTGCAGTATCTCAGCATTGCCAATCTTATAAAAACAACAATCTTAGGGCTGCATTCTTCCTACAAAATGGGCCAAGACAGCACATGATTTAATTTTTTTTTGTTTATTAGTGTTTTATTAATTTTTATATTTAAGGAGGTTAACAGAGGAGGACTAATGGCAAGAGATGGGCTTGAAATTTCCACTGGGACTAAAAAAGTTGAATAACAGATTAAAAATTACTCCCCAAAGCCAATGCAGGTTGCCACCAGATTTAGCCACCTGATAGCAAGGCAGGCTAATCCCCACAAGGAACTTCTCAATTGAGTAGCATTCTCATTAAAACAGAAATATTATTACTATTATTATTATTATTATTATCTCATAAATAATAGACTAAATAACACAGGACATTATGTATTATCCTCATGATCTAATCCATTATATTTTGTATATATTAGAGTCATGCTAATCCTTTTTGGGATTTCCCCTTTCCCTTGAAACAATGTGTCCAGAAAAACATTTTTTCAGAGATGGATACATGCTGGCCTGCCATGCATAATTCTACTATTGCTAATCCTGAATAACAGAAGGAATTATGCAAAGGAGCTGCACAATCATCATCCCAGCTCTCACAAGTATTTTTAACACTCATGTTCCAGAGACATTTAATCTCAACTGCATAAAATACAGGAGAGAAATGAACAGGAGCTGAGCAGCTGAGGCCCCTTCCACTGAAATAATTCTCCACTTTTCCAGGAGACCCAATGAAAGC